TCTTCTACAATGAATGGCCTTGTATATGTCTCCTTGTCCAGGTATCTCTAATGTATCGATAGAAGAGTAGAATTGTTGAGTCAGAGAGTTTTGGGATTTTTACTTTTTAAATTGCTCTACAGAGTGACTTTCCTATTTCCCACAACTTCAACATCATTTAATATTGTCATATTTAAACCTTTCTCTTTTTTTTTTTTTTTGCCAGTCTGTTTATGGTATCTTACTGTCTTTTTATTTTGTATGTCACTAGTTGTTAGTAGATTTTCTTATATTTCTATATTTCTTGGTCATTTAGATTTTCTTTGAATTTCCTGCTTTTTTTTTTTTTTTTTTGTGATACTGGGGTTTGAACTCAGAGCCTACACCTTGAGCCACTCCACCAGCTCTGTTTTGTGATGGGTCCCTGTTTTTCGAAATAAGGTCTTACAAACTGTTTGCCTGGGCTGGCTTCAAACCACTGTCTTCCTGATTCTCCGACTCCTGAGTAGCTAGGATTATAGGTGTGAGCCACTGGTGCCTGACTGAATTTTCTGTTTTGAACTTTCTTCTATTTTTGTGCTGAATTGTCTTTTCCTTATTGGTTTCTAGGAAGTTTTTACATACAGTAGTCCCCCTTTGTCCATGGTTTTTGTTTCCATGGTTTCAGTTACCCAGTCAACTGCAGTCTGAAAATATTAAATGGAAAATTACAGAAATAAATAATTCAGAAGTTTTAAGTTGTACTCCATTCTGAGTAACATTATGAAATTTTGCACCATCCTGCATGGTGCTTAGGTGGTTTTAAGACTTACCACAATGGTGGCTGATTCCTAAGTTTATTTCTCTTGCCCTGACCTTTGAGTTCCAGATTCCTGTATCTAACTGTCTATCTGACATTTGCACTTGAATGATTAATAGCTGTCTCAAATATGTCTAAAATAGAATCCTTTTATTCCCCCTAGACTTCTCTCCAGCATTCCCTGTTTCTTACCACCCCCATGCTACCTCCATAGTTTGAGCACCATGGTCTTTCTTCTGGATTGTTGCGGCAGCCTCCTAGCTGTGTATCCATTGTTGCCCTTTGCAGTTTTTCCACCACGCTGTTGCTAGTGATCATTTAAAAATACACATGGGATCAGGTTACCCCTCTGCTCAGAGAACTTCAGTAAAATCCTGAAAAAAAAGACTAAGGAAAGGGAGTTGCTAGTTTCCATCTATTAAAATTGTAGGGAGACTACAGATAGTATAAAACTACATACATTGTTAGAACAACTGAATAGATCACTCAATAGAAATAAAAAACTGGACACATATATAATTACTACATAATCATATACATAAATGGGAATTTAGTAATAATAAAGGTGGCATTTCAGATCTGTAGGAGCAATATGGATCATTCAGTAAATTCTGATGGGACAACTGAGTAGACAAAAGAATATGTAGTTGGATTTCTACCAACTGATTTAGACAAAAATGAAGTTCATATGGAAAAAAGATTTCAAGATAAGAAATAAAAAATACATAGGAAAAAATTTAGTAATGTAGAAATGGGGAAAGTATTTCTAAATATGTCACAAAACCTAGAAACCATAAAATAATCCATAGAGAAGTTCAACTGTATTTCAAATTCAAATGATAAAATACAAAGCTTGCAACTTGGTTCACAAAAAACTAATTTTCTTCTTTTTCTGTTTTTCACTGCTGGGAATTGAACCCAGAACTTCACACATGGTAGGCAAGGGCTCTAATGCTAAGCTAGTTTTAAAACATGTAAAGAGCATCGGTGAATCAATAAAAATGACCCAATACATAGTAGGAAAGTAGACAACAATATAATCATCAGTTTTGCAAAAATATTCAACTTCAAAATTAGAAGTACAACTTAATTATATTAGGAAAGATAAAAATGATGAGTAACACTATTAGGCATTCTTACAGATTATCAATAGGCATGTCAATGGTAGCGCTGTTACAGAGCAATTTAGTAGAAGCTGTCAGTATTTAAAATGTAAATGCCATCTACCTAGGAATTCCATTTTTAGGAATTTAGATTTTCAGATACATTTTGCACATTTATGGAATGAATTGTGTATAAAAATGTTAATTGCAACATTATTTGTAGGGCAGAAACTTGTGAATAACCTATTTGTTTCATCAGTGTATGGGGCCATAGTGAGTTAATGTATGAATTAGGAAAAAAAAATAGCCCTGCACAGGCAGAGTCTGATATGCACCCCTTTACCCACCTGTGTACATGGCCTGGCAAATGGAGTCCTGGCACAAGCGTACACAGTGGCCTTTCAGCTGTCATTAAACCAAAAATGCTATATTTATGCAATAGAATACTATGCAGTTGACAAAAAAGAATAGGTTGGCCCTACGTGTACAAGCACAGAGCAATCTGAAAACTAGAGTGAAAAAAAATTGTGTATAGCATACTCCCGTTCATGCTTTATACATACACAACACGTGCACATGCTTGTACGTATGTATAGAATATCACTGGAAGGCCATCAATAAATAGATAATAATTGTTGCCTCCAAGAACTGAATGGGGAAAAGTTTTTGAAGGGAAATTGGTTTTCCATTATTTCCTATTTGAATCTGCATTTTATGGCACATTACCCATTTGAGAATATGCATAGAATTTTTTTTGTAAAGATAAAGGAAATAGGACAAAGGTTATGATGGCTCATTCATTGGAAAGAAAATAGAAGTGTTCACATATGAGAAATACCTCGCCACACTACAGTGAGATAAATTTTTACTTGGCTCATATACTGCTGATGACTACATAATTTGATGTAACTCTTGTTTGTTTTTGTTTTGTTTTTGATGGTACTGGGGTTTGAATCTACCTTTTTTTTTTTTTGGTGGTACTGGGGATTTAACCCAAGTACATGCTAGGCAAACACTTAACTACTGAACTACAATCTCCAGCCCAGTACTGGGATTTGAACTCAGGCTTGTAGGTGCTAGGCAGGTGCTCTACCACTTGAGCCATGCACTCAGCCATTGATAGAATTTTTTTGAAGAGCAGTTTGGTAGTCCTATTAGAATTAAAATCATATACCTATGACCCACCAATAATATTTAGACCTTATTCCATAAATATGCTAGCACATGTAGCATAAATTTATGTGTATAAAGATAGATATTGCAGCATTGTTTGTAAAAGTACAAGATTTATAACATCCTCAATATTTATCAGCAAGGACTCTTCAAGTTACTTCAGTACTTTAGTAATGGATTGCTAGTCAAGCAGTTACCAGGCAGCTTTATACAAAGTTATACAAATATACCTCCAAGATAGATTCCTAAATGACAGGAGAAAGGTGCTGAAATTTGCTAATATCCACCACTTGAAGTCAGAGCAACTTAATTACATAGACGTTCTCTAGAAGGATAAATCAGAAACTGGTGTTGTACTCAAAGTTGAGTCTGGATAGATGGCAATCATTCAGGTATATACTTACACCTTTTTAATTTTGTACTCATTTGAAAAGTAAATTCGTATGTAATCTCCAGTGGTATCCCATCACATTTAAAATACAGTCCTGATATTTTTGGTTGCTGTTGTTTTTAACTAGGACCCTCTGATCTTACAGTTTGGCTTCTGCCAGCCTTTCTAGCATGCCCAGTCTTTTCTCTCTTTTGTTTTTTTTTTGGTGGTACAGGGACTTGAATTCAGGGCTTCACGCTTGCTAGATGGGTGTTCTGTCACTTGAGCTACGCCTGCAAGCTCTCTTTTTTTTCTCACTTTTTTGTACCTACAGTCTCTCTGCCTAGACTGCTCTGACCTCAGTTCTTTGAATGGCTTAGTTTTTTGAATAATTCAGAAGATGTCTGTGTTCAAATGTTTACTCCCAAATTTCCCCTCCTTTGCACCAGTCTTCATTCCCTTACCCTGTTTTATTTTTCTTCTCAGCTCTTACGCTACCTGAAATTACACATTTTATGTTTATTCTGCTTGTTGTTTTCTGTGTCTCTAGAATGTAAGCACATAAGAACAGGACTCGGTTTTGTTTTCTGCTGTATCCCCAGAGTTTAGCATAGTGCCTGGCTTACAGTAAACATTCAGTAAATATTGACTGAATAAATACATTTTAAATACATTCTCTTACTCTGTTGTTTATATTTTGTTTGTTATAAAGACCTTTATTTACAAAAGTTTTTTAAATTTCCAAGTAGTCAAATGTGTCAATCTTTTTCACTTTTGTTTTTGTTCTTTTGCATTTTAGAATACTTGGTTTATGCTTTGGTTATTTGAAATTTCTCCAGTGATTTTAAGTTTTGTTTTTTCATGTTGAGATCTTTAATCAGCAGAGAAAATATTTTTGTGTGTGGTTTATGTTTGTATCTAATTTTTCTGGATAGCTAAGTGTTCTGATAGCAAAATTTGTTTTTGTTGTTTGGATCATACTATAGGCAGAATAATAATTACTTTTTTTTTTTTTTTTTGGTGGCACTGGGGTTTGAACTCAGGGCCTCACACTTGCTAGGCAGGTGCTCTTACTGCCTGAGCCATTGTGCCAACCCTTTTTTGTGATGGATTTTTTAAGATAGGGTCCCTCAAACTATCTGCCTGGGGCTGGCTTGGAACGGAGATACTCCTGATCTCTGTCTCCTGAGTAGCTAGGATTACAGGTGTGAACTGTGCCCAGCAAATAATTACACTGTGGGTATGTGGTGCTGGGGATTGAACCCAGGGCCTCTCCCATGCTAGGCAAGTACTTTACCACTGAGCCACACCCCCAGACCCCAGCATATTTTTTAAATCAATAAATAGGACTGATATTAAGAGAATTAGGGGGCTGGCAGCATGGTTTAAATGCCAGAGCTCCTGCCCTAGCAAGTGCCACAAGTGAGAGAATTAGGAATTAGTATGTATTTTCCGGATACTTTGTCTTTTTTTGCAACCACTCTTTCAGAGGATATTTCTCTTAATATATTACCTTTCAAGTAATAGCAGTTATAATCAGTGATAAGTTACTAAAACTCCCTTTGTTTTCAACTAGGGACGTTTACAGGCAGATGCCATGAAACTTCTGTCTTCCCAGTCTCCTCAGCCTCCCAAGCTCCTAAAGAACAAAGGTGTATTGTGCAAGCCAGTCACACAGACCAAGGCCACCTCTTGCAAACCACATATACAACACATGGAATGTCAGACAGGTACGTGCCCTTTGCTTTCATTGTAGAAAGTTTGTTTTCTGATTTGTTTGTTTTTTTAAGAAAGGAAAAGAAAGCAATTGACAGTTTTTGGAGTGTGAGAACATAAATTAATCCCTAGATCACATACTTTGAATCCATATGCGCACAAAGCATTATGTATAGGGTAGACATTGCCTGGTTTTGGGATAAGTGTAATACTGGCTTCATAAAATGTGTTTGGCAGTTTTCCTTCCCTTTCTATTTCATGGAACAGTTTAAGGAGGGTTGGTATCAGTTCTTCTTTAAAGGTCTGATAGAATTCAGCAGAGAATCCATCAGGTCCTGGACTTTTCTTTTTGGGGAGACTCTTGATTGCTGCTTCAATTTCATTTTGTGTTATAGGTCTATTCAGGTGATTAATTTCCTCTTGGTTCAGTTTTGGATGATCATATGTATCTAGAAATCTGTCCATTTCTTTTAGATTTTCAAATTTATTTGAATATAGGTTCTCAAAGTAGTCTCTGATGATTTCCTGGACTTCCATGGTGTTTGTTGTTATCTCCCTTTTTGCATTCCTGATTCTACTAATTTGGGTTTTTTCTCTCCTCATTTTAGTCAGGTTTGCCAGGGGTCTATCGATCTTGTTTATTTTTTCAAAGAACCAACTTTTTGTTTCATTAATTCTTTGTATGGTTTTTTTTGGTTTCTATTTCATTGATTTCAGCTCTTATTTTTATTATTTCTCTCCTATTTGTTTTGGGATTTGCTTGTTCTTGTTTTTCTAGGAGTTTGAGATGTATCATTAGGTCATTGATTTGGGATCTTTCAATCTTTTTAATATATGCACTCATGGCTATAAACTTTCCTCTCAAGACTGCCTTAGCTGTGTCCCATAGGTTCCGGTAGGTTGTGTTTTCATTTTCATTGACTTCTAGGAACTTTTTAATTTCCTCTTTTATTGCATCGATGATCCATTCTTCATTAAGTAATGAGTTATTTAGTTTCCAGCTGTTTGCATGTTTTTTGTCTTTACTTTTGTTGTTGAGTTCTACTTTTACTGCATTGTGGTCAGATAGTATGCATGGTATTATTTCTATTTTCTTATATTTGCTGAGGCTTGCTTTGTGCCCTAGGATATGATCTATTTTGGAGAAGGTTCCATGGGCTGCTGAGAAGAATGTATATTGTGTAGAGGTTGGATGAAATGTTCTGTAGACATCTACTAGGTCCACTTGATCTATTGCATATTTTAGATCTTGGATTTCTTTATTGAGTTTTTGTTTGGATGACCTATCTATTGATGATAATGGAGTGTTAAAGTCTCCCACAACCACTGTGTTGGCGTTTATATATGCTTTTAGGTCTTTCAGGGTATGTTTGATGAAATTGGGTGCGTTGACATTGGGTGCGTACAGATTGATGATTATTATTTCCTTTTGGTCTATTTCCCCTTTTATTAGTATGGAATGTCCTTCTTTATCTCGTTTGATCAATGTAGGTTTGAAGTCTACTTTGTCAGAGATAAGTATTGCTACTCCTGCTTGTTTTCGGGGGCCGTTGGCTTGGTAAATCTTCTTCCAGCCTTTCATCCTAAGCATATGCTTATTTCTGTCAGTGAGATGAGTCTCCTGTAAGCAACAAATTGTTGGATCTTCTTTTTTAATCCATTTTGTCAAATGGTGTCTTTTGATGGGTGAATTAAGTCCATTAACATTAAGTGTTAGTACTGATAGGTATGTGGTGATTCCTGCCATTTAGTTGTCTTAGTTATTTGAAGGTTTGATTGTGTGTACCTAACTTGATGTTACTCTCTACTGTCTTGCTTTTTCTTATCCTGTGGTTTGGTGCTGCCTGCCTTTTCATGGTTAAGTTGGGTGTCACTTTCTGTGTGCAGGATCCTTTGCAGAATCTTTTGTAATGGTGGCTTTGTGGTCACATATTGTTTTAGTTTCTGCTTATCATGGAAGACTTTCATTGCTCCATCTATTTTGAATGATAGCTTTGCTGGGTAGAGTATCCTGGGGTTGAAGTTATTTTCATTCAGTGCCCGGAAGATCTCACCCCACGCGCACAAAGCATTATGTATAGGGTAGACATGCATCTCCTACATTTGTACATCACTGTTCCGAATGTACAGACAAGCTGTTATAATCACTAAGATATATATTTGATTAAAAGCATTACTGATTGAACATACTTTCTCATTTTTAACACTGAATTCAATTGTCAGTTATTGAAAGTACAGCTAACATGTCTAAGGTGCTGGTGATCAGGTAAATTGTTTGAAATCATATTTGAAAAAGTTATAAAGTATTCTAATCCATGTTAGCTGCTTTTAATTCTATTGTCATTTTTTCATTTACTATAGTAGCCTTCTCTTAAAACATTTTTTACTTTGTTTTTTAATAGTAATTTTACTTCATAGAGAAAACTTTTTTAAAAGCTTAGTCTGGAGCTGGGTGCAGTGGCATGCATGTGTGATCCCATCTACTTGGGAGGCTGAGGCAGGGGGATTTCGACTTCAAGGCCAGCCTGGACTACATAGTGAGACTGTCTCAAAGGAGAAAAAAAATTAGTTTGTTAACAAGTAATTACTGGTATTTTATGTAGGGTGCCTTTCCTTTGATAGGATTCAAAGAGAATCCTATTTTCTTTCCTCAGAAAACTTGATGGTTTTATGACATACTGTGTGGTAGAGTGGTTCAAGACTGTGTAGCAAGTGTGAGCCCTGAGTTCAAACTCCAGTGCCACCAAAAAAAAAAATGTATATGTATATATATGTACATATGTATATATATATCTACACACAAACTGTTCATGTACATAAATTTATATTAAATACATATTTAGGTGGAGGGTAGTAAATGATCTGTAGATAGCTATATGTGTGGATATGTATGTGCTTACACATTTTTTTAAATTTCTGGATTAAATGTTAGACTTTTCTTATGTTCTGTTGTAAACTACTTTATCATTTGAAATTTCATTGAAAACATTCCACATCAGTGTAAACTTAAATATATTTTGGGCCAGGTGCCAGTGGCTCACACCTGCAGTCCTAACTACTCAGAGGCAGAGATCAGGGGGATTGTGGTTCTAAGCCAGCCTGGGCAAATAGTTAGAGAGACCCTGTCTCAAAAAACCCCATTACAAAAAAGGGACTGGTGGAGTGGCTCAAGGTGTAGGCCCTAAGTTCAAATCCCAGTACTGCCTCTCCCCCCCCAAATACATACATACATACATATATATATGTGTACATATGTGTTAAAATTCTTTATTTTATTATTGTTGTACTTGGGTACATTGTGACATTTACAAAAGTTCTTACAGTATATCAAGTTGAATTTACCTCCTCCATCGTTCTTCTTTATCCCTTCTCCCTCCTACATTGGGATTTTTAATAGACATAGATTACAGTGTGTATAATCAACTCCCTAAGATTTTATTTATTTATATATAGATATATTTGTTTGTTCATTTGTTTATTTTTGTAATGGTGGGTATTGAACCCAGGGCCTCACATATGCTACGCAAGTGCTCTACCACTGGACTACATTCCCAGCCTCTAGATTTTTTAGTATTTATTGTTTATTTATAAGCAATGTTGAGTTAAACTGTGTTAATGGATCTTTGTCCATTCATCTAATTATATCCTGAGGAAAACTCCTAAGCAGTCAAATTACTGATTAAAAAGCTATTACAGATTTTTAAGGCTGTGAAAACTTTCCTGTTGTTAAATTGCCCTTCTGAAAAGTTCTATCAGTTTATGCTCTAACCATCAGTGTTTGAGGAGGTGCATTTTTCTTCATCCTCCCTGACACTAGGTATTAAAATAAAAAATGACTCCTATGTTTTTTTCCCCAATTTTAATTTTGAAAAATTTTTAAATTCAAGACAGGAGGATTGAGAGTTTGAGACCAGCCTGGGCTACATAGTGGGATCCTATCTCAAAAAACTGAAATAGCCAGGCACTGGTGCCTCATGCCTGTTATCCTAACTACTTGGGAGGCTGAGATCAGGAGGACCTTAGTTCGATGTCAACCCAAGTAAATACTTCATGAGACCTCATCTCCAGAATACCAGAGCACAATGGAGTGGAGGTGTGGCTCAAATGGTAGAGTTCCTGCTTTGTAAGCGTGAAGCCCTGAGTTCAAACCCCAGTCCTGTTCCCCCCACCAAAATAAAGCCAAAATTAAAAAAAGAAGTATAATTCTTTTTTTTTTTAAGTATAATTCTTAATCTGATGTGTTCTGTAGATTTCAGACCTATTTCCAGTAATCTATTGGATACTTGGGAATACTTACATATTTTCCACAGCATATAATTTTATTACTGTCAGTGACCAAGCTTTGGACAAGGGAGAAAATCACTTTTTAATGGCATCATAGAAGTATTATGGTTTGTTTTTGGTACTGGGGTTTGAACTCTGGGCCTTGCATTTGCTAGGCAGGTGCTATACCACTTGAGCCATGCCCCCCAGCCCTTTTGACTTTAGTTATTTTTATACTCAGGCCAGCCTAGATTGAGGTCCTTCTATTTAAGCTTTCCTCATAGCTGGGGTGACTGGCACACCATGCCCAATTTTTATTGGTTGAGATGGGGTCTCTCAAACTTTTTGCATGGGCTGTCTTGGAATGCAGGCATAATCCTCCATGCCCAGCTTATGGTTTGTTTTTAAATTTAATCAGTGTATTCTTTTGATATGAATAGTAATAAAATATTAAGTGTATGTGTGAAAACATAAAGAACATCACTTACTTGTTCTTGAACATAACCATGATTCAAATATTTTCTTCAGATTTACCTATGCCTAATGAGAAAACTGAGGCAGAACTTGATTCTCCACCTGTAAAGAAAAAAAGAATAAGTTTTTTCCAGACTTGTGATGCTGAATATTTAAAAGTTGGTTTTATCGTCTGTCCTGAATCAAAAGGGAGTTCACCAAGGCCACAGTGTGTCATTTGTGGAGAGATCTTACCCAGTGAAAGCATGAAGCCAGCAAATCTTTCTCATCATTTGAAGACAAAACATTCAGAATTAGAAAACAAGCCTGTAGATTTTTTTGAACAAAAATGTCTTGAAATGGAATGTCAAAACAGTTCTTTTAAAAAGTGTTTACTAGTTGAAAAGTCAGTTGTGAAAGCTTCTTATCTAATTGCTTTCAAAATTGCTGCCAGCAAGAAGCCTTTCTCTGTTGCTGAAGAATTAATAAAACCATATTTAGTAGAAATGTGTTCAGAAGTTTTGGGTTCAAGTGCTGGAGACAAAATGAAAACCATTCCTCTTTCTAATAATACAATTGGATACAGAATTGATGAGCTTTCTGCAGACATTGAAGATCAGCTGATTCAGAAAGTTCAAGAGTCTAAGTGGTTTGCCCTTCAGATAGATGAGTCATCCGAACTCTCAGATACCACCCTTCTTTTGTGCTATATTCGGTTCATTGATTATGATTGTAGTGATATAAAAGAAGAATTACTATTTTGCATGGAAGTGCATTCTCAAATCACTGATTTTGAAATATTTGAACTAATAAATAAGTACATTGATAGTAAATCTCTGAACTGGCGACATTGTGTTGGTCTCTGTACTGATGGGACTTCAAACATGACTGGTTTAAGGTTGAAAATTCAGGAAGTTGCTATGAACAAAATGGCATTTACACATTGTTTTATTCACCGTGAACATTTAGCAGGTAAAAAGGTGTCTCCATGCTTATATGAAATTCTTTTGCAGTCAGCACAAATTTTAAGTTTTATAAAAAGCAATGCATTAAATTCACGAATGCTAACAATTTTGTGTGAAGAGATAGGATCTGAGCACGTGAATTTACCCCTTCATGCTGAAGTACGTTGGATATCAAGAGGGAGAGTTTTAACAAGATTGTTTGAATTGCGACATGAAATTGAAATATTTTTAAACCAAAAGCATTCAGATTTGGCCAAGTATTTTCATGACAAGGAATGGGTTGCAAAGCTGGCCTATTTAGCAGATGTATTTTCACTTATAAATGAATTAAATTCAAGTCTCCAAGGATCCATGACTACTTTCTTCAGTTTGTATAACAAAATTGATATATTTAAGAAAAAGTTAAAAATATGGTTGAAGCGCACACAGGACAATGATTATGACATGTTCCCTTCATTTTCTGAGTTCTCAAACTCCTCAGACGTAAAGCTGAGAAACATCGCAAGCATTATTTTCCAGCACTTGGAAGGACTTTCTCAACTGTTCCATGACTGTTACCCACCAGAAGACGACTTGCGTGTAGGAAATTTGTGGATAATTAATCCTTTCATGAATCATCAAAATAATAATCTCACCAACTTTGAAGAAGAAAAATTAACACAATTATCATCAGATTTAGTATTACAGTCAGTATTTACATCAATGTCCATAACTCAGTTTTGGATAAATGCAAAGACAAGTTACCCAGAACTACATGAAAAGGCGGTGAAATTTTTATTGCCCTTTTCAACCATTTACTTATGTGATGCTACCTTTTTGGCTTTGACTGAATCAAAACAGAGAAACCTGTTGGTTTCTGGCCCTGCCCTACGACTTGCGGTCACATCGTTCATTCCAAGGATAGAAAAGTTGGTGAAGGAGAAAGAATAGTAACCTGCATATTGCTTATCATCAAAGTTTCTAGTTTTGTGTTAAATTTTGTATAAGTATCCTAAAATGTAAGTTCCTAATGTGAATTTGTGTTTGCAGTGATTAAATGTTTTAATAATTTTTCCATTTTTGTGGAGGGATTTGATAATTATACATTTGTACATAATTATGTATAATTTTAATAATACAAGATAGGGAATTTAGCTTATATTGGTTGATAATCTTGGCCAAGATTGCAGGTAATGAAAGACCCCATTTATAATGGAGCACAACCTGGAAGTTCAAACAGTTCCCATGTAGAAAGGGCTTGGGAAGTTTCGGTCTAAAACCAAAACTACTGCGGGCAGGGTTGGGGCAGGTGGAAAACATGGCTAAGCAGCTTGGCTAATAGGAAATGTAAAGCAGCAGGACTTTCCAGATGCTTACTGGGGGCTTCTCTGGCCCACTCAGAGCAGGGCTTGGCCAACTTTTTTCACAAGGGGCCAGACAGTAACTATTTCAGACTTTTCTGCCATGCTGTGACTACTACTCTGCGGTTTCAGTACAGAAACTTCCATAGACAATACATACACATGGAGTGTGGCTGTGCTTCAGTAAGTACGAACACAGATACGAATTTCTTATTATTTTCATGTGGCATGAAAGCAGCTTGAGCATTTTTCATCGTTAAGAAACACAAACATCATCTTTGGGTGTGAAAGGGACAAACTGAATTAGGCCCACAGTTTGTCCACCCTGCCTTAGACAGCTTGTCCAGGTGAGAGCCACGACTGGGGCGGCATTGCTCAGTGAGGGCCTTTCTTTCCATAGCGGCAAGGATCTGAATTCTCTTGTTCATTTCAGCTGAGAGAAGTTACAGGGAAAAGGCATTTTAGGCAAAGATGGGCAATAACCTGTTACAATTACTGGCTACTGGTTGTTACTGTAGTAACTAATTCACCCTCTTACTGTGCCGGGCGGGCTTTGTGCTCAGCCGGTCGGAACTGATCCAGGGCCTTATCCTCCTTTTCTCATGCCCTTTGGGGTTGAGTGGCAGCTAGCGTGGCACGGGCAGGCCCCAGGGTCTTTGGGTCGGAATCGAGCTCTCCCAGTGTCTGCTTCACTACCGAGGGCCGCCGGTTCTTGTGGGTGTCCCTGTCGGTCTGTCCGCAGGACCGCGTGTCCCTCCCTGGCGCGGTCTTCTGGCCAGGCCCGGAGGAAGTGAGCCGGCGACGGGGCGGGTTCTGGGCCGGGCGCCCTAGAGGCCGGCGCGGCCATGGCACTCGTGCTCGCAGCCCTACGCGTCCTGCTGGGCTGCTTCTTCGCTCTCACCGGGGCGGCCAAGCTCTCGCAGATCTCGGCTCCGGTGTCGGAGCAGATGGTGAGCGGCGCGACGCGCGGTTGGGAGGGGACCCCGCGGCCTGCGCTCGGCCTGGCCGCCGCGCTGGAGCCGGGACTTTCAGGGGATTTCCTGGAGTTCGCCGCCGCTCTCCAGGCCTAGTAGACACGCTCTCCCAGGGGCTCGGAGACCACGGGGAGGAGATGCAGGGGACCGGGGACTCCCTCTTCATCATTTGCTTCTGTTCGTGGGAGATTAGTGAAGCAGAGTTTGGTTGGTCTTCGCCAGTTCAGGGTGGGAAACACTCTGAGCGTGAAGTATAACTTGCTAATGGTTACACAGCTATTCAGGAAGTAGGACCCAAACTAGACCTTCCCAAACCAGATTCCTCCGGAGGGAGGCCTAGAAGTCACCAGCCCGTCTGTTCTCCAGTCCCAGACTCTGAGGCAGCATTCGGCTCCTACCTACCAATCTTACCAGAACATCAAAGAAGTCAGGCTTTGGTGGGGACCCTCTCCCACCTTCCTCCCACACCTGGATTCTCCATCTGGTGGTTTAGGGTGCTGAGCTTATTTGGGGCAGTGCATCTCCAGAACTAGTTAAGAGCTTCTTCTGTGCAGGACAGAGGAGGAGAGGTAGAGCCGAGGCAGGAGAGCAGGATGAAGCTGAGATTTGACTCATCAAGATGAGTCATTTTGAGCCCCCTCTACTCTTCTTGTGTGTGCCACAGTGGGATCCAGAGCCCAGCAGAGGTGATTAAAAGTAGAAACTGTTTAATGAAACTTTCTACTCCACTGCATACATGCCAGGCCTGGCACAGAGCTCTGTGGAGTTACTAAGACCTTGGCCCTAGATGGGAAGACCCAGGCCTGCCAGCTCCCTCCTAGAACTTGGGGCTGCCTTGTCATCTATGGAGAGATCTGGTAAGAAAATCAGGCCATTTCTGTACCACTCCCCAGCCCTTCTCACTTGGAAAGGAGAATCTGTGTCCTGATTCCAAACTTCAGCCCATGAGGAAACCCTCTTTTCTCCAGACTCACCTTAGGCCCCTACCTGACCTACAGGCATAGTTGCTTTGTTGGGGGAGTCCCACACAGACATAGAATGCCCCTATGTTGCCTCTGGGCAGTGCATCCTTGGCGAGCATGGCTAACAGGCATTCTCTGCCACCCCTAGAAAGCTCTGTTCGTGCAGTTTGCTGAGGTGTTCCCATTGAAGTTATTCGGCTACCAGCCAGATCCCATGAACTACCAAACAGCTGTGGGATGGCTGGAACTGCTGGCTGGGTTGCTGCTGGTCCTGGGCCCACCGATACTGCAAGAGATCAGTAACTTTCTCTTGACCCTGCTCATGATGGGTAAGGGGGTCAACTGACCTGGGGAATTGGGTTTTCTGGGGGAGGATGATAGAAAAACTTGGCTGCACCCCCCTCCCCTGTGGCCATTCGTTTTCTCTGGCACCAAGAACACTTCCTGACCTGCTGCAACTTCTGTAATCTTCAGACTAGGACAGGTGCTTTTGGCATTTAATGTACTGCAACATCGATCCATGTCAAATATACTTTGTCCCTCATGCCTTCTGTAGCTGTGTAGTATTCCATTATGGCAATGTATTGTAACCTCAGCCCCTACTTCTTTCACCACATGCTCACTCTTGGAAGTAGAAGTGGTGTTGCAGCTGCAACTTGATTTATGTACCTGGCAGGTGAGAGCAGTGAGAAGGGAAGCTGGGACCCCTAAACAAGGGGGCAGAGAATTTCCTTACAGGGGCTCCTGCTAGAGGCTCTGATCACGAGAACTGCCAAGGTTCAAATACAACTACTGCTTCAAAAGCCAGACATCTTCAGGCTCTTCTACATCCCCTGGCCTATTCACCATTATTGCCACTACTACTACCCTGCTCCCCACTCTCCTAGCATTCTTTTCATTTCTAGAACTTTCCTCATTTTCAGATCTTTGCCACACTTCTACCACCAACCCTGGGCTTCCTTCTCTCAAGTAGGTTAGGATTAAGAAAGGAGAAAACATTCCCAATCCCCCATCTGGTAGGTGCTTACTTAGCTCCTGCTGTTCAGTAGCATTGTTTCAGTTTCTTGTACCCTGAGAGGGTCTACATTAGTTCAAGAGCCCTCTAATTCTCGGTCCTGCTCTCTGTGGGGGCCAGAGATGAATGCAGCTGATCTAGGGAAGGGTGCTTCCTGGGAGGGTTTGGAATGGGGTGAGCCCATCTAGGTTGGAACCCCTGAGCTTTGGGATCTCCTGCATGCTCTCAGGGCCCTCACTTTCCATTGCAGGGGCTGTCTTCACTTTAGCGTCCCTGAAGGAGTCACTGATCACCTGTGTCCCAGCCATTGTCTGGGGCTCCTACTGCTGCTGGATATCTGCCATCTCTTCACCCAATCCAAGAAGGTGATCAGACACTCTAGGATGAAGACTCCATGTGCATTCAGGGAACCCTGGCAGTAGAGTCTCTTTATATCATGCAGCTATCACTGCAAGAACACACTAGAACACAGAGTCTCCAGAATGTCCAGGGTCATTCACTGTTGAGAGACCCCTTGTCTACCTGGCCCTGACTTCTCTGTAACTATATTGCTCTGTTTTGAGGGGTACATATTCCACATACTAACATTCCTCATGTCATGTGAAAGTAGAAAATAAGCAGAAAAAAATTTTAAATCACTAAAATTCAAATGCCCCATAACAACCACTTTTAATGCCTTGGTATAGCTTACCTCATGACCTTTCTGTGCCTTTACACAGATGCCTACTTTTAAATGAAAATGAGACCATATCTCCACATTACTACCTACTTTTAAAACCTAATATTACTATAGCACTGTTCCATGTCTGTTTTATCTCATTAATGTTAATGGCTACATAGTATTCCGTTGTGAGGCTATACTGTATTTACTCCACCCTCATGAGGAGCATTTGGGTTGTTCCCAATGTTTTTGTGATTGTAAACCCCACAGTAAATCAACTTGGCATACTTATTTCCTTTCCCCAGAAGTGAGTGTGCTGGTTCAAAAAACATACACATTTCTAAGGATTTAAATACATATTTAAAAACTTATAGGTTGAGTATTACAGTGTTTAAATATCTGCTTCTGCCTTTGCCCTTCTGAGCCACATGAAGGGTTTCTTCCCATTCCTAACAAAGATGGGCACTGAATCATTTTACAGGACCTTAAATCCCCAGCATGGAGGTGGGGGAACAGCCAGCCCCCAGGAACACTGAACGTACAGCAGGACCCAAAGCCTGGGAGGAATCCCAGAGGTCCTTGGAGTCAAAACAGTACTTGTGTGTGATAGTTCTCAAAGAAAAGTGAGCAACATCACTAGTCAGTGTACCTATGGCTGTGTCACCAGTCTTCACCTGAGTCCAGATGTGCCTCCTATGAGGGGAAATTAAAAGGAGTTTATTTATGCCATTACTTTAGCCATCAGCCTATAAATTGCTCTGGAGATAGGGACACTAGCTTTAGGGAGCATACAGAAGTGAAAGAAGTCTATGTAGGTCACTCCATTTCATGTTCACCACACAATAGTTTAATTCTTGCTTTGTCACTGAGTAGCATGAACCTCAGGCACGTTGACACTTTTTTTTTTTTTTAGTGGTACTAGAGTTTGAACTCAGGGCCTCATGCTTGCTAGGCAGGTGCTCTGCCACTTGAACCACTCCACCAGCCTTAGTTGGATCTTCTTATGTCTGAAAACACAATGATGCAATTCATGTACAGTGACAATAGATAGATAAATAGATAGATAGACAGACAGATAGATAGTACATAAATCTATATGGCAGTGTTAAAACAACAAAGGAGGTCCAGAGATCACTTGGCTTCAGTTTCGGTGTTGGCTAATTGGGCTACTTAATGAAGACATCAAGGACCAACATAAAACTTTCTGTTTTGCTTTCAGTTTATTGGCTACAAAGTAGCTGCAGCTGCTCCAGGCAGTATATTTGCATATAACATTCAGAGATGAAAAAGAAAGGAAAGATCTCTTAGACAACCCTAAATTTTCTCTCACATTTCACTGGCCAGAATTATGTCACATTTCCATTTCTAAACCAATTGTTGGTAAGGAGAATGAAATTTCCATGATGAACTTGGACCAGTTGTTTTACCCATAACTGGTCAATTATCTACTAGGGTAGATAATTATATCCACTACTTACTCATAAAATGCGGGTGATAACACAATATTTCATAGCCTGGCACATAATAAGTGCTCAATAAATGTTGGCTATTATTAAATAGCAGTTTGTTCTACCAATGAGAATATGGATCTGGGAAACTAAAATGTATATGTACTAGAACTAAGACTAGAACTAAGGCCTAATTGATTCCAGAACCCACACTTTGCATTGCACCAGCTGCTAAAGCTACAAAATGGCAGGCATGACAGTTGGGATGACCCATCCACTGTGATTAAATCTCTGTTTTCCAGAACTGACTCTCTGCATGAACATTTTGAAGCCCATGAAAGTAGAGCCTGGAGCCCCTAGAATCCTGGCTTCATCCTACTCCTTCTAGGATGCCCCAGCCAGCCTGCCTCTAGCCAGGACTTGGAGTAAAACCTCTCAGAGCTGGCATTGGGTTGAGGGCTCTTATCTACCAAGGCTTGACCTCTAGGCTGATTTGCAACTACTGGCATCCTGAGCTTGATGGTAGGGCTGGTCCAACAGCTGCAAAACAGGCAGGATGCTAAGGAGAGTGGGCTGGCCACCTGGTATAGAGAACAGTTGGGATTGACACCAGAAAGAGTATCTTGAACTCCAACAGTGCCTCCTGAGTAGCTCAAGAAGCCAAGTCTCAGGAAATGTACCCCTCCCTTCCAAACCACAGTGTAAGTCTGGGTCAGCTCAACACAGTAACGTTCAGCTGCCTGGCTTTCCTAATATCTATGGACCTTCTTGTGCTGAAGGCCCTCCTGCCCTGCAATGATACTCCATTCCCTGGTTGCACCCTTACAAATCCAGTTCATAGCTGCCACAGTGCAGCCTTTTTCTGCTGTTGAGCCTATTCTTCATACCCTGTGCCAGAATTAACTAGGAGGGTCTGAGTTACATGAGTGGGAGGGGATTCTGCCCTGACTCAAGTTCTTAAAGCCAGGACCCAGAGAGAGCTCTAGCAGCCAGAAGAGCAAGAGGTAAGAGGAGTGATCTGGTAGGATGACAGGGAGAGGTGCTGGATGGGACTGCTGGGGGCTGGAGCCAAGGTGGATAGAACTGACTCAGTGTCCTAGAAAGGAATGGAGCCTGAGAGACTCAAAGGCAGAAATTCAGATTTTGGTATTTGGAGGGAATGAGTTTGGGGACAATCCAGAAGTATATCTAAGTGTTAAAAATTATAACAGGACATTGGCTTATGCACTTATCCTGTTTGGGGAGAGGGTAGAAACACATCCAGATTTTTTTGTGTTGTATCATTTCCTTGGAGTACCTGTGTCTCTAACACTGATGTGTGCCTGTGTGGATGTATGCACATATCTGTGCAGCCTAGAAGGGAAAGAAACTAAATTATGAAATATTTTCCTAGTGTCATCCCCAGGGCTCAGAGTTTTACTTATGTTTTCTCATAATCCAAAAGTCCTATGAGGTAGATATTTTAAACTCCATTTTATAGCAGCAAAGACAGGCTCAGTAAGGCTGAGTAATTTGCCCAAGGTCACATGGCAAATAAATGTATCTGGAAACTGGTGGGTCCCCAAGTCTGTGTTCTTCTTGCTTTTCTGCCCCAAGTGCTGAGTCTTCTTTGTGGTCAAAAGATGAAGTAAAAGGAAACAGGCTGGAAGGCTTGAGAACTGAAGCCTTTTCTGCTGGGGGGTGGGGTGGAAGCTCTTGGGGCAGAGAACCTTCACTAAGGCAAAGTCACTGTGCACAGGCCTGTCCATTTTCCTTGCATCACAAGGCCATCCCTCCCTTCCTTTGTCACTGATGTGGGTGGCACAGGGAGGGGGATTGGGTTTTTTTTGTTTTGAAAAAATTTTACCTTACTTCCTGTTGGCTCAGCCCAGTGCTGGCTTACTTCATATAGCCATACCCCAACATGGCTGACCCATTCTCCATCTGTGAGAGGCACCTCCATTCTCCCAGTCACCAAGGTGGGAAATGGCCAAGCTCTCTGGGACTCCTGCTTCTTCCTTCTTTCCCCCACTCTGTCGCCAAGAACTGGGGCCATTCCCTCCTCTCTGTCCCCAGGCACTGCTGGACAAGATCAGTCATCATCCTCTCTCATAGGCTTCTTAGCCTCTAGTGTACCCTCCCAAGCAACAAGAGGGGACTATGGGGTGGGGTGAAGGAATGTGGTTAGGCCTCCAGTGATCTTTCTCTCAGTTCAAGGTCAGAGATGAACAGTAGTGTTGGGGACCTGGGCATTGGTGGCTACAGCCCCTGGGATGCCCTGGCTCTCTTCATTGTGCCATGGCCTACATCTTGGTGCAGGGCCTGGGAGTGCTGGCCAACGGGGCCATACTGGCAGTGTTTGTCCGCAGCTCATCTACTGTGGCTCCATGCACCACTCTGCTAGGATTGTCGGGTGCTGAGCTGCCTCACCCCCCATGAAGGGCCAAGGCACATGGGGCCTCCTTGGCCTCCTCCTAGGGAGGCCCCTGGCCTCTCAGCCTCCTTCTCCCTACCCCCATCCTTCCAGTGGGTTTCTGGATGGAGAAAGCTCATTGGAAAGAGCTAGAGTCCAAATTCTGAGGCAACCCCATGCTAGCAGTGTAGCTGTAGACTCCCACCTCCTTTGTGACAGAGACATAGAACACTCTTAGTGACCCTGGATTTTACCAACTTTAGATACAAACAATATGCCATTGTCTTTTAAACCTCTTGAGGTAAAACCCAAAGTCCTACCTCCCCTTCCTCTCTGTACAGTGTCAGTGCCTGGAACATGTCAGGGAAAGGCTTCTTACAGGGAGGCCTTTCTTGTTCTTGGCTACCAATACACACACACACACAAACACACACACACACATGGGGTGGGGGTGCGGGGGGAGAGAGAGAACTGTATTGCTCCTTCATTCTTACCACAATTTAATCAAGCCATTCATTGGGTAATACATTTTTTCTTTTCCATAAGAAATTGTGTTTTTTGGCAGGGTATCAGTGGTTCACACTTGTAATCCTAGTTACTGGGGATCAGGAGGATCTGGTTCAAGGCCATCCTGGGCAAAAAATCAAGATCCTATCTCAAAAATACCCAACACAAAAAAGAGCTGGAAGAGTGGCTCAAGTGGTAGAGTTCCTGCCTAGCAAGGGTGAGGCACTTGAGTTCAAAGCCTAGTACTGCCAGAAAAGAAAAGAGCTGGGCACCGTGGCTCACACCTGTAAGCCTAGTCACTCCTAGGATCAGGAAGATTGTGGTTCAAAGCCAGCCCACGGAAATATTTTGTGAGACCCTATCTCAGAAATAACCAACACAGTGGCTCAAGTGGTAGAGCGCCTGCCTAGCAAGTATGAGGCCCTCAGTTCAAGCCCCAGTACCACAAAAACAAACAAACAAACACAGAAAAAGTGCTGGTGGGATTGGCTAAAGTGGTAGAGCACCTGCCTATAGCAAGTGTAAAGGCCAGAGTTAAAAACAAACCCCAGTGCCACAAACAAAATGAAACAAAAACAAAAAGAAAAGAAATTGTCATTTTTTGTAGGTCCTCAAATGTTGAAAATTGGCAATTCTATTTTCATTTAATTTACGCTACTAAATTCCATGTTTACCTTGTGCACTGTACTATTTCCTTGCACACAATAAGAGCTCAGAGTATCAAGAATGAATGAGTGAAACCTGCAAATCATTAAGTACTCAGACATCCCAACCTCCAGTAA